TATTTTTCTTTAAAACGAAAGAGTCGCCCTGGCCAGTTTGGCTCAGTGGATAGAGCATCAGCCTGTGGGCTGAAGGGTCTCAGGTTTGATTCCAGTCAAGGGCACGTGGGCTGGTTGTGGGCTTGATCCTCAGTAGCGGGTGTGTAGGAGACAGCCAATCGATCGATGATTCTCTCTCATCATTGATGTTTCTATATATCCTTCTCCCTTCCTCTCTGAAATCAATAAAAATATATATATTATAAAGAAAAGGAAGAGGCCAGGCAGGAATTGGAGTTTGATCATTTGTCACTACAGCTTATCCCCGAGTCCCCGTCTCACTTGGTGTTTCTTCTTTTTCTTTCAGGACACCAGTAAGGAGCTGGATGAGGAAGAGACCTCTGAATGCAGAGAGGCTGGGAAGGGTGGGATGGGCCCAGCTGCCTTGGTGACAGGCCCAGGGTGGGAGGGGTCGGGGCCCCTGAGGGACAATGGGGAGGTGTGTCTTCCCTCTGCGTGAAGAGCAGAGACTAGGAGTAGGACCCCCACCGCTGTGTCCAGCAGTCACTGAAGCAGAGTTGGAAATGTGCTTGAAACAACCACACAGGATACTTTTCTACATTGGTGCAAAATGGAATATTTTGTACATTTTTAAAATGTGATTTTTGTATAAACTTGTATATGTATGCCAATTTGGTGCTTTTTGTAAAGGAACTTTTGTATGATAATGCCCGGTCATTGTGTGACTGGCGATCTTAGATAGAGGGTAATGTCCTGTATTTCAGAGTCTATCCCTGACAGAGGGGATGGTAACTGAGTTTGTTATATGTTGTTTTAATAAATGCACAGTGCTCTCTTCCTGTTATTGCCAAAAGAGTTGGGGTTTCATTCAGCCTTTGTTTCTGGAGACTTCAGATGGACAGAGGCCTGAGAGGAAGTGTGTGGCAGGAGGGAGCCAGTAATGGCAAGGCTAGGCTTCTGTCCCACCAAAGAAGAGCTCTTTACACCAGCATTTCCCAATGAGAGCTCCATGGAAAACTGGCCCTGAGATGATCCTCAAGACACGGGGGTAATGCCCTGTTCTCGGGCTCTCTGGAAAACAGAACCTGGGGCAAAACTTCAATGTTTTAGTCTAGATACAATCCCAGGGCAGTCAGATGAGGGAAAGTGGAGGCAAGGCAGGATAGGAGAGAAGCAAAGTGTCGGAGAGACCCGGCTCTTTGCTCCGTCACATGAGATATTTTTGGCCGGTCATGAAGAACACAGCCACCCCAAAGCAGTTCCTCAGAGGGAAGAAGGGAGATTTTTTATCTGCTGGCTCCTTTCATCTCTTGTCTCAGAATTGAAGCTTGTCTCCCAGAGTGTTAATTCTCTTATACTTCCAGGCTGCATCACTTGGCCCCTTTTGGCAGCTGCTGGGGAAGCTAAACCAGATGGCACACCATCAATTGCCTATGTGGGAGGTGGGAGGAGTAGACCCTCTGTGGTCCAGAGGGTTGGGCATGGGTGCTGGAGTTGCACAATGGATGCTCTGCTGGTTCCCAAATTTACTCCAGGGGAGGTCAAGACAGCCACCAGTTCTAGGGGATGAGGCGATGGCCAAGGCCAAAGTAGTTCCAAGGCTTTCCATGAACAAGGAACCAAGGGGCTAGGAGAGAGATGAAACTGACTGAATCAAAGATGGTGCATTAGCCCTCACCGGTTTGGCTCAGTGGATAGAGCATCGGCCTGCTGTGAAGCGTCCCAGGTTTGATTCTGGTCAAGGGCATGTACCTCGGTTGCGGGCACATCCCCAGTAGGAGGTGTGTAGGAGGCAGCTGATCGATGTTTCTCTCTCATTGATGTTTCTAACTCTCTATCCCTCTCCCTTCCTCTCTGTAAAAAATCAATAAAATATTTTTTAAAAAGATGGTGCATTAACTGGGTCTGAGACACCTTGGACTTATAAATTTGAGGAACACTGCAGAGTCTGTCCCACCATTTCGACATTCAGAACATAGTAGAAAGTTAAGGGCTCTGAGTAGTCCTGCCATAAACAAAGCGATTTGACTTTAGACAATGACTGGCCCATCAAGTTTATGGTGTTTGGACTACTGCTTGATCTTTAAGGCTCTTAATAGTTTTTTGTTGTTTTTTAAAAATATATTTTTATTGATTTCGGAAAGGAAGGGAGAGGGAGAGAGAGATAGAAACATCAATGATGAGAGTCATTGATCGGCTGCCTCCTACACGCCCCCCCCCACTGGGGATCGAGCCCGCAACCCCGGGCATGTGCTCTTCACCGGAATCGAACCCGGGACACTTCAGTCCGCAGGCTGACACTCTATCCACTGAGCCAAACGAGCTAGGGCAGGCTCGTAAGGTTTTGGTGGATTGAATATTTAACCAGCTAGGGCTGTTCTGAATAATTTTTAAAAAATTTATCCATTTCCCAACTTATCCATTTATGTGACATCCTCCAGAACTAATGTTCTATGGAACTCATTTTATGAAAGTGCTTGAAACCCTCACACCTTGGCCCACTTTCACTTCTGGTTTTCCCAAGGCTAACTCAGTCCCTAACTTTGAATTTCAGGGAATCAGATTTTTGTTCTCAATTCTAGTTCTTCCTCAAGTTCTGAAGCATTTTTTTTTCTTGCTAATCCTCACCCGAGGATATTTTTCCATTGATTTTTATTTATTTTTAAAAATATTTTTTTATTGATTTCAGAGAGGAAACAAGGAGAGAGATAAAAACATCAATGATGAGAGAATCATTGATTGCCTGCCTCCTGCACGCCCCCTACTGGGGATCGACTCTGCAACCCAGGCATGCGCCCTGACCAGGAACGGAACCCTGGTTCATGGTTGATGCTCAAGCACCGAGTCATGCCCACCAGGCCCACTGAAGGGAGGGAGACGGAGAGAGAGAAACATCAATGTGAGACATGTTGATTGGTTGCCTCCCACGCTCACCTGACCAGGGCTGCAGATCCCGCTTGCAACCAAAGTACGCGTGCCCTTCTATCCACTGAGCTAAACCAGCTAGGGCTGTTCTGAATCATTTTTTTTTTTAAATTTCTTTTAAAATTGTGTAATATATTACAGACATACAAATATACAAAACCAGTTATAGAGTTTAATAAACTATTGTAAAATGAATTCTTGTGTTGCTACTATGCAGGTCAAGAAGTAGCCACTATCCTGTCTTTTTTGATAATCATACACTTAAATTTCTTTATAGTTTTACTTTCTTTTTTAAAATATATTTTTATTGATTTCAGAGCGGAAAGGAGAGGGAGAGAAACATCAATGATGAGAGAGAATCATTGATAGGCTGCCTCCTGCACACCCCCTACTGGGGGTTGAGCCTGCAACCCAGGCATGTGCCCTTGACAGGAATTGAACCCAGGATCTTTCAGTCTGCTCTGTTCACTGAACCAAACCAGCTAGGGTTATAGGTTTACACTCTAAAGCAGCGGTTCTCAACCTGTGGGTCACGACCCCTTTGGGGGTCAAACGACCCTTTCACAGGGGTCACCTAAGACCATCGGAAAACACATATATAATTACATATTGTTTTTGTGATTAATCACTATGCTTTAATTATGTTCAATTTGTAACAATGAAAATACATCCTGCATATCAGATATTTACATGACGATTCATAACAGTAGCAACATGACAGTTATGAAGTAGCAACGAAAATAATTTTATGGTTGGGGGTCACCACAACATGAAGAACTGTATGAAAGGGTCGCGGCATTAGGAAGGTTGAGAACCACTGCTCTAAAGTATCCTCACATAGTTTTGTCTAGTGTGGCTCAGTTGGTTGGGAGTCAACTGGTGCACCAAAATGTTGCTGGTTCGATTCCCCTTCAGGGTACGTGCCCAGATTTGGGGGTTCGATTCCCTGGTAGGGGTGTGCTGGTGGCACATCAACTCACATATTTCTCTCCCCCCCCCCTTTCCTCTCTCTCTAAAATTCAATAAAAATAAAATAGTAGCCTTAGCCGGGTTGGCTCAGTGGATAGAGCATCGGACTGCGGACTGAAGGGTCCCGGGTTCGATTCCGGTCAAGGGCACATACCGTGGTTGCAGGATCCTCCCGGGGGCATGCGGACCCTGGTCAGGGCGTGTGCAGGAGGCAATCAATATTTCTCTCTGTCTTCCCCTCTCTCTTCCACTCTCTCTAAGAAATCAATGGAAAAATATCGTCGGGTGAGGATTAAAAACAAAAACAATAGAAGATAGTATCCCTCCACAGAAGCCTGAAGGAATGTGAGGCCAGAAAGCGAGAGGCGAACACCATGCGTGGCACCTCGCTGGGGCTCCTGTGAGCTGCTGCGGGCAGGGGAAAAGAGATGGTGGTGGTGGTGGTGATGGTGGTGGTAGCTCTGCCCAAATGGAGACCGACGCCCAAGTGCGACGCTGCCCTAAGGGAAGGGAGATAAGCCGGTCACTCCAGATTGTAAGCCGAGCGAGGAACCGGAGTTGCTCCGCTGGCGAGGATGGGTGGGCCAGTCCCAATCAGTCCTAACGAGGGCCACTGCCCGCCCGGAGGGAGGCAGCTCCGGCCTCCAGGAACCCCTCCCGAGCCTGGCGGAGCGCAGCCCGCCGCAGGTGGCTGCCGCCCGAGGGCAGAAACAACCCTGTCTTCGCCTGTCTCCTAGCCTCAGGAGCCACATTCCCTCCCTCCCCGGATCCAAAGCTAATTCCTACGAACCAAGATCGAGAACTTCTCGGCTGCCCACGCCCCGCGGGGAAGAGCGCACGCAGCCGTCGCGCGGTCCCAGCTCAGTAGCGGCGGTTCGGCTTTTCGTCGCCAGCTACGCGGGCTCCCGGGGTCCCAGGGACGCGGGGACGGGTGATGGGGGGGAGGGCGGGGAGGGGGCGGCAGCTCCTGGGCATCCTTTGCACTCGGCCACCCCATCCCCCTTCCCCGAGGGCTTTTGCACACGACGCCCGGCGGGCCGCTTCACACGGGGCGGCGAGGGCCGAATAAAGGGCTCGCGCGCGGAGCTGGGCTGCAGCGGAGCGGCTTCGGCAGCGGGACGGCCCCAGCGCGGCGGAGCGGGCGTGAGAGGGGCGCAGCGGGCGGCGACGGGAGAGGCGCGCGGGGCGACGCGAGAGTCCGGCTGGGCTCTCCCCGCAGGTGAGCGGGTCTCAGTGCGGGAGTCGGCGCGCGGCTTCCCGCCCCAGCGCGGCGCCGCATGAAGACCATGGACAAGCAGCGTCTGTTGGACGCCGGGTCCGGAGCGCGGTAAGGCGAGAGCCTGGGCAGGAGTGGGGATTTGAGCAGCTGCAGACGCACCTCCTGGTTTGCCGTCCCGGATGGTTTGAGCGGCACTGGATGGTTTGTGCACACAGGAGGGGTGGAGCGAGGTGAAGGAGAGGGGAAACCCAGCGTGGCGCGGGGATCAGCCCCCCTTGGCGGCCGAGCACAGAACCTAACCACGGCCCCGGGGTTCGGAGAGCTTGGCCTAGAGCCCCGCCCACCGCCAGGAACTTTGCCCCGGGGCAACCTGGCCCAGGGAGGACCCGTGTCCCCAGGTGCAGAGATGGGGGTTTGCCCAGCTGCCAGGGCCTGAGCTCTGTTCCTTCTCCGTGCTCGACTGGCCTGGTTCCGCCCCTTGGCCACTTCCCAAGGTCTTGGCCTCCTCCAGGCCCTGGGAGGGATGGGGGAGAAGTGAACATCTGGGGCACGGCCCTTAGACTCCCGGAGACTGGTCATTCCCCCAGCACCCACCTGCGGACATGGGCCTCTGGTCGCCCCTTGGGGACCTTGGAGCTTGGAGTGTCCCTAGCTAGTCCCCTAATTGTCCACATGGGAACGCCCAGGCCCCACGGAGAGAGGGGATTGGGGTCAGCCCTCCTCATCCCCATCGCAGAGCTGAGTCTACCCTCTCCTCTCTGGCTAGGTCTTACATGGGATCTCGGTGGCAGAATGAGGCTGGCTGGATTTCTGTGTCACGACCTGAGCTGGACTTGCCATCCATTGAGCTGAACGTGGAGAACAGTCACTACTGCCACTCCCAGCAGGGTCCTGGCAGCCGCTGTGACCCCGAGAAGGAGCGGGCCCGGCGCCAGCTCTATGTGGCCTCTGCCATCTGCCTGGTGTTCATGGTTGGGGAAGTCGTTGGTAAGGACTTTTGTGCTAATTAAGTGAAATTGGCACGTGGATACTCTGGATGATCCAAAGGCTTTTCTCCTGAATGTTCCAGCAATATTAATACAGTTGACACTTGAACAGTGCGGGGGGGCGGGAGGGGGGAGGTTAGGGGCGTCAACCCACACAGTTGAAAAATCCAGGTGTAACTTTTGACTCCCTAAAAACTTAGCAACAGTTGGCTCCTTCTCATCCATGGATTCAACCAACCACAGATGGAAAGCCGTGTTTAGAAAACCGTGTTTGGGGATGTGAAAGTAGAGTTTTCCACGGGGATGGTTGAATTAACAGGTGGGAAATCAGTGGATATGAAGGGCTAATTGTGTTTATTGAAAAAATTTCACATAGGAGTGGACCCCTGCAGCTCAAACCTGTGTTGTTCAAGGGCATAGTTGAAGACTGAAGACTCTGTTCCTTTTAAATTTTTTTTAAAGAACTTTATTTTTCAATTACTATAGACATACAATATTATATTAGTTTCAGGTATATGACCTAGTAATTAGACATTTATATCTCTTACAAAGTGATCACTCCGATAAGTCTAGAACCCATCTGACACCATGTATAGTTATTATGGACAATATTATGGATTATATTTCCTAGGCTTTGTTAAGTCTTTTAAATACATGTATCTCATGCAACCCTCAAAACAACCTTGTGCTGTCACATGGGTGCTGTTAGTCTCCTGATTTTATAGATTTTGAAACAGGTACATTTAGGTTATGTAATTTGCCCAAGATTACACAAAACTAGTAGGTAAGGGAAGGGCTGAATGCCTAGAAAGGAAAGAGCATTTACTGAATGTTTACTATGTTTCCCAGGCCCTATTTGAACTTGATTTTCACATTCACCCTGTAAGTAGATGTTCGTCCCATTTCACAGATGGTAGAAATTGAGGCTCGGATAAAGTACTTGCAGTGAGTATCAGTGTCTCCTTGGGGAGCCGACGAGGACCCTCCATTCTTATCACCCCCTGCAGGTGGGTACCTAGCACACAGCTTGGCAATCATGACTGATGCAGCCCATCTGCTCACTGACTTTGCCAGCATGCTCATCAGCCTCTTCTCTCTCTGGATGTCCTCCCGGCCAGCCACCAAGACCATGAACTTCGGCTGGCAGCGAGCTGGTGAGGGCCCTGATCTGAATGGAGTTGGGGTTGGAAGAATGACAGGTCCAGATATGGTTTCTTAGGTGGATCCCCTGAGTGAGGCCAGGAGAGCAACTTTCATGGGGGAGGATAATGTCAAACTTGGCTTCTGTCCTCTGGGAACTCCCAATCTGGGAGGGAAGGAGAGTTCACCTTCCAATGAAATGAAGTGGGCAAACTTCAAGAACAAATCGGGGGGGTAGGAAGGCGGGGGGAGGGGTGCAGGAAAGGTCAGCAAAGCTTTCTGGAGGATACAGGCTTTAAACAGGTATACATTTAAAAAAGGCATTTTCATTACATGTAAAACAAAGTCTTGAGCTAAATGACTTAAACTCCTTCTAGCTCTGATATTGTCAGACGTTTGAGTGGTGGGCTAAGGTGCAGACCCAGCCCAGACTTGGGACAGGGGTCTCCTCAGCCTTCGGGCTCCACACTAAGATTGGTGTTGGGGTTGGCTCTTCCTCAGAGATCCTGGGAGCCCTGCTGTCTGTGCTGTCCATCTGGGTGGTGACTGGGGTGCTGGTGTACCTGGCGACAGAGCGGCTCATCTCCGGGAACTATGAGATCGAGGGGAAGACTATGCTGATAACAGCGGGCTGCGCCGTGGCCGTGAACATCATGTGAGTCCTCCCTCCTCCCACTTCTCACGTGCGTACCTGTGTGCCTTCTGGTGGAAACAGGGCAGCCGGAACTCTGGTACAGGAGTTCAAACTCAAAGGCTAACATGGGCCAAATAAGCAAGGTTTCAGTTTATGTGGGCTGCAACAAAACAACAGCTTCACTTTTCAGAGAAACGTAGGTTCATTTCGATAGAGACATGCTGAACACAAAGGGCTGAAATAAATGAGTCATCGTTTACATAAAATAATAGAACATTTTAATAAAAATTAATATTTTTTTCTTGAACATTAACTTACCAGACACTGAGAAACTGCACAAATTAATAAGCATAATGCAAATAAACCTATTTTTTCTTATTCTCCGAAAGCGAAATATTTCCTGTTGCGCACACCAAACAAGTCAGTCCAAGAGTAATGACATGGCAATTGGCTGCTAAAATATTTGCTGCTAGTGTTAGTAGAGAGAAATGGTGCGCCTGTGCATAAGGCACATAAAGGAAATGAATGAAACACGATTATAGTAATCAGTCATTAGCGAACGTTGTAGTTCGTTCGTTATTAATAATGATGTATAACAGGATATTGTAAAAATTAAGTTACGGAATTTTTATTAAAACGTTTCTGACATACCGTTATATTGGCTGGGCTGCAAAAATATTCGTTGTGGGCCGAAAGTTTGACCTGCTTGAGCTACAGGAACAGAATTTTCCTAACGGTCTGAGCTCTAGCATCTGGAACACCTGGGTTCTGCCTTAGGCCTGGGCCCAGACCATCAGGAACTGTAAATCTGGGGCAGCATCAACTCCACCCCACCCCACACATGTTGGTGAATAACCTGGGAGGCTTCATACCTGAAGTGGGAAGGGGTTAGTCTAGTTCTTGCAGGAGCAGATGTCCCTCGGGGAAGAGTCCAAGTTCTTTTTCGAGTGGATGTGGTTGAAGTTGGTCTCAGTGAGGGGCAGGGTGTGTAGCGCGTCAGTCTTATTTGGGTTCTCTCTCCCTTGTTCAGTGGCCTAGAGTGAGCCACTCCTCTACGACTCGGCTCCCCTGTCTGGGGCACAGCGGGGGGAACTGATGACTGCATGGTGTTCTGCTCTGAGACATGGCACTGGGGCATCTTTGTGCCCAGATTCAGCCTGGCATTGGAGTTGAGCCCTTTCTCTATGGCACTCTGAACCAAGGCCTCGTGGGTCTGGGTCAGGCTGCTCACATAGTCAAAGGGGTCATGCAGTCTGGGGCTTTGGGCTTTTAGCCCCACAGGGAGGCCAGCCCTAATGAGTAGCCTTTACCTGGCTGATCTGAAGCCTCTGCCCTCTATCTCAGTGAGCCCTTTGGCGTTGTCTCCACTTCCGTAGAATGGGATTGACTCTTCACCAGTCTGGCCATGGACACAGCCACGGCCAAGGGCACGGACACAGCCACGGCCAAGGGCACAGCCAAGACACCACCCAGCAGCAGGAGAACCCCAGTGTCCGAGCTGCCTTTATCCATGTGATCGGAGACTTGCTGCAGAGTTTGGGCGTCCTGGTGGCAGCCTATATTTTATACTTCAAGGTCAGAGCTGGGGACAGAGGGAAGTGGGCTGGGGAGTGGGGTAGGAGGGGACCCTCCTGCACAGGACCGTTTCCAGATTCTAGCCCCCTTTCTAGCTCCTGGCAAAAGAGTGGGGAGAGGGAAGGAGCATTTCTCTAACTTCTGGTGTTTTCTGCAGCTCAGAAAGGTTCAGTGACTTGCACAGCGTCACATAGCTAGTAAGTGGTGGAGCCAGATTCAAACCCAGCACTGTGTGCTGCGGAAGCCTGGGCATTGCCCATCACACAGAGGCAGTGCAGTATATTGGAAAGGGCTGGGCATTGGGTTTGAAGTCTGGCTCCACCCCTTGCCAGCTGTGTGACAAAGAGTGAGTCCCTTGCTCTAACTGAGCCTCAATTTCCCGAGCTACAAAATAGGGGTGATGGACTAGATGGTGCCTAAGATTCCACTCAGATCTGTCCATGTTTCAGCCCCGTGGCAAGGAGGTGGGAAGGGACTATGCCTTATCTGAACTGTGGTCTGGCATGCCTGTCCTTCTGGGTGTGGAATAAACTGGGAGGCAGGGCCAGGGTAAGGCTCATGCCCACCCTGGTACAGAGAGAGCCCCTCCTCCCTACGCACTGTGAGGCCGAGGTGTGGATGTTGAACCCTAGCTCTGCCTTCCCTTTTTCCTGCAGCCAGAGTACAAGTACGTAGACCCCATCTGCACCTTCATCTTCTCCATCCTGGTCCTGGGGACAACCTTGACCATCCTGAGAGATGTGATCCTGGTGCTAATGGAAGGTAACCCGGCGTGGGGCTCCGTTTTTGCTCTTGGCTCTCCAGCTCTCATGGAAGTTCCAGGGTGGGGGTTGGATCCCAGCACATTGGTGGGGAGCCAGGGTCTGGAGCCGGTGTAGCCTAGGGCCCTAGGCCGGTCTTGGCACGGAGCTGGGCCCTCAGGGTGGCCATTCCTGGAAATGTCCCCTGGACTGTGCCTTCCCTTCCCCCTAGGCACAGGGTGCCGCCTCCCTGCTGAGGTGCGTCCTTCTTGCCTAATCAGGCGGTTTCTGGGTTAGCCCCTGGCACTCTAGCCCCTCCCCATACACTTCCTCAGTCTCAATTTGCCTTCCTCAGGCAGAGAGAGGGTCGAGGATCATGCTTCCCATTGCACAGGGGGACAGACTGAGGCTCAGAAAAAGACGGTTAGTGTTGAACAAGGCTGCTGAGCATGTGGAGCAGTCCGGGCCATCTTTTCCGAGGCCCCGGCATCAGGAGGATGTGACTGAACTCGGAGGGGTGCTAGGTAGCGAGTGGCAAATGGTCTGCCCTGAGTTACCACACTATTCGTCCGGCTTTCTTGTGCTCCAGGTCTTGGGGTCATGGGTCTCTGTGTGGGAGGGTCACCTGGATTCTGGTTTGTGGTCAGCAGGAACGTAGGGGCAGCTTCCCAGGAAAAAAGAAAAACCTCTTTTTATTGAGCACCTACTATGGGCTAGGCACTGTTCTAGACACTGGGGAGGATAGGGTGGTAAATAAAAAATAAAGACTATCCTGCTTTCATGGAGCTTCCATTTTAGAGGGGGAGACAGACGAGAAACCAACAAACAGAATTTCAGTGTTAAGTGTTAAGAGGAAAGCACAACAGGTGATATGATGGCGACCACATGGACGGTGGGGTAACAGCAGGTCTGCTGGCCGAGGCGCTCTTCTGAGATGACCTTGGAGGAGCGGGAACCAGCATGGGTGGAAGGGAGCAGTTCCCCTCAGCCCTGCCCTGGCTGTCCCCAGGTACCCCCAAGGGCGTGGACTTCACAGCTGTGCGGGACCTGCTGCTGTCAGTGGAGGGGGTGGAAGCCTTGCACAGCCTGCATATCTGGGCACTGACTGTGACCCAGCCTGTGCTGTCTGTCCACATCGCCATTGGTGAGTGGTGGGGACACTGGGGGTGAGGGGAGGGGAAGGGGCAGCCAGAGAGACCTGGGCATCCCTCCCAGATGCTGCTGGTGCCCATGCTTGGAACCCGGCCCCATGCGGAGTGCTTGGTGTGCATTATTTCATTTGATCATCACAGTCCCATTTATACATGAAGGAACTGAGGCTGGGGGAGTGGAGCCGGGGCGGGGGGGGGGGGGGGCGGGGTAGAGGAAGGCCTAAAAGTGCCCTTCGTGTTCTTCCAGGATGTGGCAGGACCTGGGGCTGGGGGTGGGGGCGGGTATCTGGCGCAGGGGTGGAATCTTAGTGTTCATGGTCAGGCATCCTGTTCTGCTGTGGGCAGGGCATGAGAGTTGGGCTCCTGATTGTTTCTAAGGGCCCACGAGTGAGGAAATGCTTTTCTGGTGTGTCCTCTTGTCTCCCAGCTCAGAACACAGATGCCCAGGCTGTGCTGAAGGCAGCCAGCGCCCGCCTGCAGGGGAAGTTCAACTTCCACACCATGACCATCCAGGTCGAGCACTACTCTGAGGACATGAAGGACTGTCAGGCGTGCCAGGGCCCCTCGGACTGACGGCCTGGCCAGGTGCCCACTGGAGCACGGACAGGACCTGCAGACGGTGGGGCCCCGTGTCCCCCAGGCCCAGCCAGGACTCTGTTTACCCTGACTGTGTCATAAACCAGATCCCTCTTCTGACCTCAGCTCCATGCTCAGCGCGGAGGAGCCTTGCCCACTCCAGGAATGGGGCTCCTCCCCGGCCTCCCCTCCGACGATAGCAGCCCCAGGGTGGGGACTCAGCAGGTACAAGCCCACTCCTGCTCCTGGGTCAGTTCCTGGTGGGGCTGGGTTTGGGCCTGCTCCGCCGCCAATGCTGTCTTACCACCAGCCTCAGGGAGAGGCAGTGAGGGATGCTGGAGGGGAGCCTGGCCGCAGCGCCCCCTGCCTACCTGCCTCATTTCCCATCTTCTTTGCCTTAGAAACCTGTAAAGAAATCTTGGGACTGAGCCCCCTCCCTCTGCCTCTAACACGATCTGATTTAAGGAGGCCATGGGGGCTAGGGAGTTGCGAGACAGACTAGTAAGCCAGGACAAGTGGAATAGGGAATCCGAGACAGATAAATGGCCAGGCAGGTTATAGCCAGCCATCGAGTAAATCACAGCATCCCATCTCCCCTGGCCAAGGACGCTTAAGAGTAAGTGGTTTGCACGTCTGCCCAACCAGAGGATAAAGAGCTAAAATCTCAGGAAGACAGATAACACAGCCAATGAGTGCCATTTATACCAACCACATCCAAGGACAGGTGAAGTTAGGGGAATAAATCTCATTTTGGTGCATCAGCATAAACTGATTAATATTCTATTGGGGGCCTCCCCTAAATTCCCAGCCTTTAAAACCCTCAAGATGAAGGACTTAGGAGCCTTTTCTCCCTCGCCTCCCCCCGACCCACCCCCCATGCATTACCTCCGCCTTACTCCTAAGCTCCAAGGGCCCTTCTGTAAGTTTCTAAATAAACTTTCTCTTAAAATTCGCGTTCTTGGCTCTGAAATCCTTCTCTGCTAAACTCAAGAACTGAGGTGGTTTCCCTGCCAACACCACCATTAACATAAGGCCCCAGCCCTCTCCTCTGTGTCCCCCTGAGAAGGGGAGCCACGGGGCACCCAAGGGCCATCTGTGTGGTAGTCACTTCAGCTGTGAGCCAAATGGTTCCCTTTCTGAAGGGAGGAGGCTTCTGGCTAGGTAAGGACCTGGCTGGGTTCCTCTCTGCTTATTCCCCCAGCCCAGGAAGCTATGCCAACACAAAGATGCCCTGGCCACAGTTGGGGGAGGAGCAGGAATGTCACCCCGGGTCCTGCCCTGACCACCCCGCAGCTCCTGGGCCACTTCACAGCCTGATAGTGTCCTGAAATCAGGCCTGCTTGGGCCAGCTCTGTTTCCTCTGTGACAGGACATACTCTGAACTTGGGGATGGAGGACAGAGCGGCTGTACAATTGGGACAGGACAGGAGACGATGGCTTCCTGGAGGGTGTGAAGGTTCCTGACTCGGGGTGGCTTGCGTTTAGAAGATGCAGGGGGAGACCTGTCCCCAGGCTCACAGAGAAGGCCGTGTGCCCTGGCCTAGTGGTCTGTCTGCCATAGCCAGCCAGTGCCCTTAGGCAAGTCAGCCTGGCTGTGCCTCTGATTCTCTGAGAATGTTAACCCCTACTTCACAGGTTGTGGGGACTGGAGCCAGTCTGCGAAGCACCTGGTCAGTGAAGGGTTACTTTGATCTTTATCCTGGAAAGATGCAGCCTGAGGCTGCCTGGGTGAGGAGCCAGGTGGGCCTCCCCAGGGGCAGCACTGAGTTTGTCTTGACTCTGTCCTGACCATGGCAGGATGGTGTGTGTGTGGGGGGGGGGGGGGGGGGGGGGGCGGGCGGGTCACTCACCTTCTCTCTGAGCCTCTTTCATCTGTGAAATGACATCTCTGTGCCTTTCCAGCACTGGCATCCAGGGTTGCCTGTTACCTAGGCCAGTGGGTTCTTCTGCCCTTGAAATCAGCAGGGAGTCACTTTGTGTTGGTTTGGAATTGGGGGTGGGAGGATGACTGATGGCGTGCTCCACTCCACCCTGGCCTCTGGGGAATCCAGACCCCCTTCCCTCTCAGCCACAGCCCCAGCAACCTGGATCCTGAGCTTTGCTCTATGGCAAGTCCTTACACCACTCTCAAGACAGTCATTGCGATGCTCCATTTTTTATTTTATATATTTTTAAAATATGTTTCCATTGATTTCAGAGAGGGAGAGATAGAAACATCAATGATGAGAGAGAATCATTGATCGGCTGCCTCCTGCACACCCCACACAGGGGATCAAGCCCATAACCTGGGCATGTGTCCTGACTGGGAATCAAACCGAGACCTCCTGGTTCATTGGTCGACACTCAACCACCGAGCCACGCGGCTGGGCAGGATTCTTCAATTTTACAGATGAGAAAACTCAGAGAGGTTGAGTCACTTGCCTTAAGTCACACAGCCTGTGTGAGGCAGGTCTGGGGTTTCTGCCTCATTCCCCTAGGCCTCCCCCTACAGCAGGGGCTGGAGACCTGTTCTGAGCTGCATGTTGTTACAGTGTGAGTCCTTGGGCCTTGCGGTGCCCTCCCCACGGGCAAGCTATGCCAAGGCAGTTCAGTGTTTTGGTTGCCGCAGCTGTGATTGGGGTGGAGAAAGGTGACTCTTTCCCCTGGCTGGCCTGGCACTCAGAGCCCTCCACCCTGGGAAGGCTGCCTGGGCTGCAGCTGTGTGCTCCCTCTCCCACTCTCAGCAGCTGATCTTGATCCTGAGCCAGGCTGCCTCACTCCCAGTTCCCCCTCCACCTCAAGAATCTAGCAGCCCCATGCCTTCCAAGGGAGAGCCTTCTCAGCACCCCCAGCTGTGACTGACTGGCCCCAGGGAGCAGAGGTCAGGCTGGAAGGTGGGGATGGGAAGCCTTGGAGAGGCCCTGGGGGACAGCGTGTTCTGGCCTGCGAGCTAGTCACGGGAGTTTCCAAAGCGGCGAGGTCATCAAAGCAGAAAAACACCTGACACCCTGGACCTGGGCTGGACCCATTGCCCCCACCTCTCTAGAGCCGTTCCCCCCCACCCCCCCCCCACCCCCGGCCAAACCTCCCCAGTCTCCTCCCTCGTGCAGCTGCTGCAGGGGTATTTATAGCCTCGGCTTGAGGGGGCAAGGACAGGCGCTGTATTTCGGAAGCGGTAATTCCTGTTCCAGGTGGATGAATCCCGGAAAACTCAGCGTCCCCTCCCCGCTGCACTTTCACCTACAGGCACTCCAGTTTCTGCTCCCACCTAGAGATGGCCCTGCTTAGTCCTAAGCGTGTGGGCCAAAGCGTAGGCCCACTCTTCCAGCTAGTCCCCCTCCCTGGGTGTTCAGACTTCGGGCTGCACACCCCAAGCCGCCTAGTGCCCGGGCTCGCTCTCGGACCAGACGGGTGCTGAGAACTACAGCCCTTTCCCCGAGGAGGGAGCGCGGAGCGGCGCTGACCTCTAGTGGCCCGAGCTGGTAATGCAGGGCGACGACCGAGCTCCAGCCGAGGGTCCCGGGCCCGCGGGGCGGATCGCCTGCGTTCTCGTCCCTTTCTTCCCCTCCCCATTTGCTCCGCCGGTCGGGAAAGAAGCCCAGAAACGGGCTTCCCGGCGCCTCTTTGTTCCATCGCTGGGACGCGAGGATTGCGCCTGGCAACCCCGGCGTCTGCGGATAGCGGCCTTCCCGCCGGACTAGGCACCATGGGGGTGGGCACGGAGTTTTGTCTTCTCACTCGGCACATCCTGTCCACACTCCCATCACCGTCCTCAGAGGGCAGGCCCGCAATTGATGTCTCTTCCAGTTACCTGTTTGTCAAATATTCGTAGCGCTACCTGCAAGGCCAGGGAGAGGAGCACACGTCCGGGGCGTCCAGACCGTCCAAGGGCTGGCGGTGTACGCGGCAAGGAACACCGGGCTGTGAACGCGCAGAGGAGACCAACCGATCCGGAGAGGGGATGGGGGTCGGGCAAACCCCGGGGGAGGCGAGGATTTGAAGACAAGACGTCAGCTCGGCAGAGAGCCTGCCGGGCAAAGGCACTAACACAAGCTAATGCCTTGCACCTGCGAACAGAAGCTGGCTGCACGCTGGAGGGTGGGCCGAGGTCCCGCCCCCGGCTCTATGATAGGCCAATCGGGGGCTGACGTTTGGCCGCTGAGCGTCCTGATTGGGTCCCTGGATGTCTCCAGGGAGGGGACACCTGAGCCGAGCCGCCGCCTCCGAGCAGACTCGGCGCTCCCGGTGTCGGGGCGGGGTCCGGTGCGCCCCCCTTAGGGCTTCTCCAGGCCCCGGTACTTCTTGCGCAGCACCGACACCGGGTCCTTAAAGAGCACTGGGTCCAGACGGAGGCGAGAGGACACCAGGGGCATGTGGCCGAACCCCGCCGCCACCCGGTCGATGCAGTCCCGGGCTGCGGGCCCCAGGTCCCCAGGCACCTAAGATGCGAGGAGAAATGCGTCGGAGTTTCCCGTCCTTCCGGACCCAGCCTCTCCCCCGCACCCCGCACCCCGCAGCAGAAAGAGTTCCTGTTGGCCGGTGAGAGGGAGCCCTCCCTCCCGCCTCCCCCCGGTGCCGACCGGCCCCCTCCATCCTCACCCGCGGTGGGCTGGCGTCCTCGTGCCGCCTCCCAGAGGGCACCTTGATGGGGGGCAGCTTGGTGGCTGCTGCTACCAGGAAGTTCATCAGGACGTCCACACAGTGGGGTGCGGCCTCCGCCAGGCGCCTCAGAGCCTTGGGCAGGGAGTGGGTGAAGAGGGTGTGGTAGTACCTGGGCGCGGGGGGAGGCAGGGAGAGGCTGGAGCCGAGGCCACCGCCCCAATTCTGTTTTTCCCGTCCTGACGTCACTCTCCCTTTGACCCCAGTCTCCCAGCCTCTGGCTAAACGCCCCCCACCCCCGCTCCCTTCCCCGAGCCCTGGCCCCTGCAGAGGGTCCCGCCCCAAGTACCAGCCGCTCTCCACTGTTCTGTGCTCTGTGGCTGGTCTGCAGCCAGTGGTGTATGTAGTTCCTGCCCCTCCCTCCCAGCTCCCTGGGCCCCCACCCCAGGAATGAACTCAGCCAAATTGGGGGGTGGGGGGGGGGCAGCTAATTCCAAGGACATCAAACATGGCAGCCCAAAGCCAGCTTCTGGAAGGATGTGGACTAACTAGGCTAAGGCGGCTCCAGATGAGCCCTCCCACGCTCCAGGGACCTACCGGCCCTACAGCCAGTAGGGGTATTCTTCACTTCCTGAGAATCCCCTGCAAGACGGTCCATGTTTGGTTTAAACACGTGTAAGGAACTCCTCTAAAGAAGCCCTTCAGAGTTCAGTCCCTGCCCCAAGACTGGGTGCCAGCGCAGTTCCCCAGCTCATCACACACACTTTGTAAAAAATTTATTAAAATTTCTTTTATCATGTGATTATCACAGCAGCCCTGTGAGGTGAATACATTATAGAGATGAGGAAGCTGAACCTCAAGAGAAGTGAGGGGACCCTGGCCCGTTTGGCTCAGTGGATAGAGCGTCGGCCTGCAGACTGAAGGGTCCTGGGCACATGCCTGGGTTGCGAACTCGATCCCCAGTGCAGGGTGTGCAGGAGGCAGGCGATCAATGATGCTCTCTCATCACTGATGTTTCTATCTCTCTCCCTCTCCCTTCCTGTCTGAAATCAATAAAAATATATTTTAAAAAGAGAGAGAGATGTGAGGAGACTCGCCCATCACGCAGCTTGGACATGGCAGATCTGGGCCTTGAACCTGGATCTCTGGGCTCCAGGCTGACTGCTGTGTCCGCTCCCATGCCCCCCTGCTCCTGGTGTAAAGAGCCTCTGATCCCGGTGCCAGGGCTACCACCTGTACCTGTGGTAGAAGGCCGCCGAGGTGAGGACCATGGAGAATTCGTTGACCCTCTCAGCGGTATAGCCCCAGCGCCCCTGGGCCTCATCCCAGAAGTGGCTCCATGTCAGAAAGCCCACCATCCGCTCCGGGAAGC